AAGTGAGTGCAGCAAATCCACCTTCCTGGCTCACTTGCATGCAAACATCACCATGCCATCACTGAGTTTTGACTGATGGCAGTATGCTCTAATAAAAAAAAGACCTTACTCGTATGAAAAAGCTCCGTGTGCGTCATGAAAGCTATTTCAGTCTTTGCTGCCTCCTGAGCTGAATGTAAACCGACATTGGTGACTCTATTCAGATATAATTTCGTAAAAGGAAGTAAGAAGCATGACTTTCAAGCTGTGTGTGAAGATGAGCTAAAATAGTAACCAAAGTATCTCAAGAGAGTGTGAGGACATTAAAAAAAAAAAAAGAGAGAGAGAGAGAGAAAAAGTTCTTTTAAGTATATCTATTGTTAAGACTCTCTTTTGTACCAGTTGGATGTGTTAAATTTCCCCCTCTTTAACAGTAAATGTGAGCCTTACTATAATAAAGAAGCTAAGTAACTGGAAGGATTCACAGCTTTCCTCATTGAGTTTTGCTGCTTGGCCTTGATCCTAAGGAAAATCATCCTTAAACTTGAAAAGGTCAGTTTGCATGGCATTCCCTTTCAGCCTTGGAGAGCAGAGAAGGCTGTTGGTGACAGAGACTGGTGCCATGGGACTGCTGCACTCTGGCTGTTCTCCTGTGAGAGTGCACAAATTCCCATGTGAGAAATTGGTGAGTCAGGCCTTCAGAGGCAGCACTGCAAGCACTGCTAACAGCTGCCCATAGCTCACGTTGCCTCAGTTCTGAAAACATGTGGTAAAATCCACTCAGATCCAATTACCGACTTGGACATTGAGAAATTAGGAAGTTTGGCTCCAGAACTAAATGTTCTGGCTGTCTACTTGTCTCCTAAGTCCCTGAGGACAGATCCATGATATCATAAGCTTTAATGATTCAGAGAAGTTTGAATCTTGTTATACAGTAGCTGTACTCAGGCTGCTGCTCATTACCTACAGTTTTATTGTGTTTTGGTTTTACAGAGTAGTTTTTCATCTCAGTCACTTTGCTGGAGGTGCTGAGTGCTGCACCTTGCTCTAGGGGGCACAGGTCTGAGATTTGAGCCTCAGGCATTGCAGGGGTTATGGGAACAGTGTTCTCTTCTGTATTAAAGTACTGTGGTTGCTTTCTTAACCTGAAATAATATATGTCCTTCTCCACCCCACTGCAAATACCCATGTAGTGCTTAAAAAAATACTCTTTTTAAACCACTTAAATTATAATAGGAAAATGGTAGTTTCCACTTGTAATACCACTTCACCTTTGGTGACCCTGCCCATGGCATGGTGTTTGGAGCTTGATGATCCTTGAGGTCCCTTCCAACCCAAGCCATTCTATAATTCATTTTCTTTGTATTGCTGCATAAAATCCAATATTTGTGGTCCATCTTTGTGCGCCTCGCTCAAATACATGCTTACTGTCTGGTCTTTTTTACCTTGAGGGTTGTCGAATGCTGGAGCAGGTTGCATAGAAGCTGTGGATATGCCCTTGGACACAGCCCTGAGCTGCCTGCTCTGACCTGACCTGCTGAAACCTGGGAGCTGGAATGACAACTCTGGAGGTCCTCTCCTACCTCAATTATTCTGTGCTTCTGTCTTGCTACCAGCCTTGTCTGATCCGTACACCCACACCAATAAAAGAAAGTTGAGTCTTTGCTGGGAAGTGGTGCTATTGGTCACTGCTTGTAATGTCGGCAGGTTCATTCTGACTTTCCTTTGGGATGTCTGTCGAGTGTTGACGCTTCTTAAACAATGAGATAGCTGAGCAGATGCTATTTTTAGACATTGGGCAATTACTTACTTGTAAAGTGACTCTAACAATACTCAGTGTTTAGAATGTAAATTTGTGGATTGTTTGTGTACTCAGGTGGTTTTGATTTTTGTTTCTTGTGTAACAGCGTAATAGATTGAAATACCAAAATGGGAATTGAAAAGTGAAAATTCTTCTGTTATTTTTATTTTTCCATTCTTTACTTGGGTAGTTTCTGTCCCCACGTATCTTTCGTAACATTGCAAACTTCTTCAAAATGATCAAGAGTTTCTTATAAAAATCTTATAATCCCATAACCTGGGTTTTGCAGTACTTTCTCATTATATGTTTGACTCTCAACCATCAACAGGGCAAAACAAGTGGCATATTTTAAGACTGCAGCTATCAGGCTGTCACATTAGTATTGATCGTTGTCCTATGTTCTGTATTAACTTTGCTTATGGCACAAACAGTATCAATGGGACAGCTTGCACAAACAGTGCCAAATGTAGGTCATCGTTTGGCATATTTACCACCAACCAAGACAACTAATGAAAAGTTCAAGAGTGGTATTGACTTCCCTTAGCTGAAAAGCTTGTGTGTTATTTTAAATTTTCATGAACGCAAACCTTGCAGTTTCAAGAGAGACCCGTTATATTCATTACCTCAGAGAAAGATAATTCAGGCTAAATTTACAGGCATCTGTGAAAAGTGGGTACAATGCATGGCACTCAACATTATGCAAAAATAACAAGGGAAGAAACTGACTTGGACATGAGTTCTCTGAACACAGATGCCAATATCAACAACCTCTTCAACAAATGATAACTAACGACATTTTCTGAGTCAGTTCTGTACTTAGCTGACATTGGCTTCATAAAAGATACGTTCTGATCAGCAGTCTGGTTTCATTTAAGCTACTGTCAGTGAAGCATGCCTATTTAACAGGAGTGATTCAATAAAGTGAGAAACAAGATGGATCCCAAACCCTAAATCCTCATCACCTACTGCTAAGAAGTAAAGGCAACTTTAAGTCCCACTCATATCTTTTCATCTGTAGGGTCACTGCTTTATGCAGGGCAGCCTTAGGTGGAAATGCAAAGGGCTTGGAGAGCACTGAATCCAGAGAGTAGAGATAACTTGATTATTGAGCAGCATCCCCAAAATTAGTGGCCATGAGGGAGATGACCTGTTCTCTGAGCAATTTCTGTGTCATATATTTTGCCTAGTTGACAAGGATCCCCAGAGGCTGCATCCACTGGGTTTACAGCACAGTATAACTAATCTGAAATGAGTTATAGGAAAAAGATGCTTCTGTCATGTTTTAAGTATATTACTAGAAAAAGTGGTTGTAATTTTCAGGATGCAGTATTTCTTGAGTGCAAGGTAGAGATAGATACTGTGCAAAAGCTTTTGAAGGCACTGAATACAAGTTAGTCATGATACAGGAGTAAGGCAGAGTGTAAGTATAAGCAAGTAGCTGAGTAGAATAAAACTGTAAATATTATTGACTTAGTAAATAAGAGTTTGTACAAAGATGTATAAAGTAAATATAACTCATGAATTAACAGGAAGAAATAAGATCCAGGCAATAAAATAAAATAAAAAATAAAATTGATAATTTCCCAAGTCTTGATTTAATTTATGTCCGTTATAAAAATCGTTCAGCCTAAGGTTGTCCTCCTTGCAGAGTTATTCCATCTGTTGAACGCAGTTGTTTTTCCAGGGAAAAAAAAAGGAACAGAATGTAGAAATCTTCATTCTGAAGATGTGTACGTTATTCCTTATAGGAGAGAGAAAATGTTGAAGTTTAACATCTGGGAGCTTCTGTCCTTGTGGTCCTGTGAGTTAACTGAGGGCTACGCTGCCATCACACTTTCCTGCTGATTTAGAGAATGGACAGGAAGTGCTTAACTTTTGACCAAAACTAATTTCAGAAGTGTAGAACATGTAAGCAAATGCTAGGTATATTCTAAGATATACAGATACGTATGATAAAAATAATATATATGTATATGTATTTGATGTAAGATACCATTTCTCCTTTGAGTTCTATAGGAAAGTAATGACTTGTGTAGCATACTCGGATTACTTTACTTCTAGACAGCAGTTCAAGAAAAAGAAAGCATACTTAATTTTAAAGTTTTGTGGAACTCTCAGAATTATTTAGCCGTGTAAAAAGGCCAGCATTAAAGTTTTAAAAATTAATTAGTTTTAAATATGCAGTTAAATTAATTATTGTTGTTTAATCATATGGTAATTCAGTCTCCCTTTCAACCAGTATGACAAATATCTAAAATGGGACGTAACTGTGTCTGTGAATGTGTGAGGTTAAATGTTCCACTTTGTTTTCTATTCACATTTTCACATTAATTTTTCAACAGTAGGAATTGAAAGAATATATTTTTGCCTGCTGCATAACTTTCATGTTCAGCTGTTTTTAGAGTATTTCTGTTTTCTCTTTTTTTGGGGTAGTAAGGTGTTGCCCTCTAATCGGAAATTTTAGATTACTTCTAAGTATGTCAAGGACGTGAGCTTGCTACAGTTGTCTGTTGGTTGCAATGCAGCAGAGATTTCATAGTCTTTAGTCAGTCTGAAGTCTTTCATCCACTGATAATATCAGGAGTAAGACACAAGTATTTTTTTTTAATTTGGTAGAGAACTGTGGAGAAAGAAAAAGCAGGCATGTTATCTTCTCTATCATTGTTTGGCAAAGATTGTTTCTTAATATTTCCATTCTTGTTCTGAGATGCAGATCTACAACAATAGTTTGCTATGTTTTACAGAAAATTCATTCTTCATAACAATGAATGATATGTTTTATTCTGTGTTCTTCAGTGGGGAAGTAGTATTTAGGAGATTTGACAGTTTAATGCTTGCTTATATCCACATTTTCTATATTGAAATGAATAATAGTATATAAAGCATCAACTGTGTTCATCTGCAGTTTTTAAATTCAGGTAAGTTGTGGGGTTTTGTTGAATATTGAAAAACAATAATTAGTGTTAGCTTTTATCAAGTATCTTCCTTAAAAATATCAGTGAGTTCAGTGCCTACATGACTACTTTTTTTCTTCCTGGCATGCCTAGATCAGTAATAGTTGGTTGTCTTTTACACAAGATAATTATGTTACAGCTAAGAGTTCTTTTTCATTTTTATCATTTAAAAAGACATCTTACAGAATCCATTCTCTGTATGTACATTTGTATAAGTGCATGTGTTTGTGAGGGTAATCCTCATGCTTTTTATCTTCTCTTTGCAGACAAAACCTGTTGCATTTGCAGTTCGGACAAATGTTGGTTATAGTGCAGCTCATGATGATGATGTTCCAGTCCCAGGCATGGCCATCTCATTTGAAGCTAAAGATTTTCTTCACGTTAAAGAAGTAAGCAAAAATGAAGTAGTAAGCAGAGACCCTCTTTAAGGGTCAAAGCACCCCACTGCTCTATTCTAAATTGTTTCTTGATTTTATGAGATTTCTCAGCTTCTGATCATATTCTGTGTTTTGCAACATATCTTTCATCTCTTTTAGATTATCTGGCTTTTTAATGCTGTGTAGAAAAAGCCCTCAGTTGTTACAGTTGATGCTGCATGTTTTCTGCTAGTTGAGGTGTTTTGCAGAGGAAGCAAGAAGCTTTCCCTAATAAACAAGTAGAAATACAAGTGGACAAAGAGTAAGGAAACACAAGAATTAGACTTTTAATACTTTTACCTTGATGACTAGTGATCAGCATTTTCTGTATATATGAAACACATTAAAAAAGTGATAATTTGTATTTATAGTGAAGAAAATGTCTTTGAAGCCTGATGATATTGCAAAAGAATTGCTCTGCTCTCTCTTGTGACAAAAGTTGGGATGAGTTGGCACACAGTCTTTGGAAAAAAAAAAAAAAACAGCCTATCAGGATCTTTCAGTGAGTTTGGACAAGCACGACTCAGTTTGGTTAGATTAAATGATTTCATATGATTACCTATTCCATTTGTATTTCAAATTATCTGGTAACCTCAGACTTCACATCGAGTCTTTCCCCTGTTTCCAAGGACTTGAAACAGTGTTAGGTATTTTTTTGTCTGATAGAATTTATGCTTTTTCATCATAGCTGAACTTAGCCTCGAGTGTCAAAACACATCGGAAATAATGAGAAAGAAAGAATTGTCCAAACTTTACTGAATCTTCAGAAATGTCTTGAAAAGAAGCTTAGCTCAGCTGTGGTATTATGTTGTCTGTGGATACATGTAGCAGGGAGTAAGGAAAACAAGATTAAAATGCAGTTCTTTTTGCAGCCTCAGGTGTCATACAACAAGGTCTCTAATTGCAAAACTGTTTTGCTCTCTGAGCCACTCAGTGAAGCTGACATTCCAGCTGTGCTGGAATGGAGCAGGGATGCAGATGAGGGTTGGGATCTCAGTGACCCTGCTGCTCCCTCCCACATTTGGCAGCAGCTGCTGCTGGGCAGACCAAACCTCCTCAGACAGGTCCTGAGCCATATCCTTCCTGTCCTGCCTGTCTCCTGTTGTGGCTGTGGCCCTGGCCTGCTCGCTCTCCAGGACTCTGTAATCCACTGCATACTGCTCCTTCACTCAGATCTCCAGTTTATACTGCTGAGAGGGCTCAAGCAAGGAAAACTTAAATTCAAAATCTACATGGACAGTTGTGAAAAAGACTGTACTGATTCTGTGTGAGGGAAATTTGTTTTTTATTAAGTTAGATTTATTAAAACTTAGTGCATGTACAGATGACGGATTCCTTCTACTGCATCGCAGACTTCCCTGAATCTTTCAAGACTTAAATGCATGGCCATAATTTTGCTGTGCATTTAATTCCTCTTTGTGTTTCACCTGACTCTTCAATCACAGGTGTCCTTACAGAGTACCCTTCACCTCAGCCAGCAGCTTGAGAGCTGGACGTATCACTAACCACTACCAAGATTTCCACTATTGCTTTTTAAAATTGAGAAGTATTATGTATTCAGGAACTAGATGATCTTTGATGTCCCTTCCAACACAAGTAGTTCTGTGATTCTATGATTCCACGTACAGTACTATTTTCTCATAAAACTACCTTATCCTCCTTTTCATATATCAACAAAACACTTAGCTTTCAGACTTTACAGGAGTGAATTCCTCATGGTTTTATTTTTGCAAGAAAAAATTCACATGGATTAAGTATTTCTACTAAGTATATTAAAATTGGTTTTGTTGAGTAGTGGTTTGTTGCACTATGGCACAGGATAAAATAATACTGTCTGTTCAGATTTTAATTTAATGATGTTTTTTTAATTATATATCTCTTCCATTTAGCAAACTAAATGATACTACTTTTGCAGACTTCATGTAGAACATAGCACAGATCTATTTAATGGCTGCCTTTCTTGATTTAATGACTGGTCTTCCTCCACATGACTTGTCCTACATATTTGAAATGATCATGCTTGTCTTTAATTAGAATTTTTCAGTGAAAGTTTACAATTTTAATGAGATGTTTGAACTAACACAGGTTTGATAAATTGTTCTTCTAGTGTAGCTTCCTGTCAAAACACTTGTATCCTTATTCATTAAAGCATCCCATTGGATAAATAATATATTATACTGCCAGTTATATTTTGCAACCTAAAACAGTACTTATTTTAACCTTTATTTTTTGTTAAAATCATAAAATTTTCTTCAGGCATCACAGCATCTCTATACTAACCAGATTTTATATCTTGATCCACTGACATCATATACTTAGTAAAATTATTTCATTTCATGTGAGCCCACACGTTTAATATGTTTTACACCTAACCATGCACTTGTTAATTATTATTGTTAATTATTAAATATGTACTATAATAGCTATTTTCATAAGTTCAGTTTTAGAAGGGCAAATGGAAAAAGTGAAATGTAGTCATATTTCATAAGATATCAGTGAGCTCAGAGAAGCAGGGGAGTTTGAGATATGGTATTTTTATTCTTAATAGGGAACTCAGTTTAATAGAATAAGAAAAAAAAAGATTATTATAGAGCTGTAAAAATTGTTGCAGAGAATAAGAGCAGATCAGAAGAAATCTCTGGCATCTAGTGAGGAGAAGCATCAAGGTAGAGCAAAAGCATGTATGAAGAGCAGAGGCTGCAAAGCAGAAATGGGTGAAATGGGAGGATATATAGCAGCCAGGGAGAATCATGATGTTTTGAGAGGGAAAGTTTCTGCTTAAGTACTGTAGCATTTTAATAATTTGCAAGGTATAATTATTTTTATGCATTTCTGAACATTACCGCTATTCTTCATTGCCATAATGACATAGTACAATGATTAACTGCAGGGAAGAATTACATAAAATGACTTAGCTGCAAGTCAAAAAATATTAACAAAATGATCACAAATATAGTAATTTCATAGTACAAGATATTTTTTTTTCTTTTCATTGTCTAGAAATTTAACAATGACTGGTGGATAGGACGGTTGGTAAAAGAAGGCTGTGAAATAGGATTCATACCAAGCCCAGTCAAACTAGAAAACATGAGGCTGCAGCATGAACAGAAGGCAAAGCAAGGGAAATTCTACTCCAGGTAACAAGAAGAAATCATTAAAAATAGTAGTGCTGCCTCTAACAGTTAATTTGGAAATTAAAATTATGCATGCTATACATCTCTTTAATTCTAATGATTGACAGTGAAAAAATGTTGAATCAATGAAAAATGTATATTTATTTATAGAATTAATAATGTCATTGCAATTACAGAGGGAATGCAGATGCTTAGATTGGTGGTCTATGATAATCTATGAAGGAGTTAGTACATCTACTGAGTGCAAGCACAAAAATCAATCCCCCTAAATGTTACATTATTTTTTACTTTTTTTCACACTTACATTTACTAAACACCTTTAAAGTTGATTTCAGAAATTAAAGAAAGTATTAAGTCATTTGTTGTTTCTGACTGCAGCCATCATAATATAGAAATAAAGATTCAATATATAAACATTTTGTACAGTACTGCAAGACAGTAATAATATTGTCTTTACTACGGAATTCTTAATGCAGTAGTTTTCCATCAAATAGAAACACATGTAGAAACAAATGCCATTTGTTTCTCCTTGGATATGTAGAAAATAGAAATATTTGTAATATGTCTGAATGGCATGGAGTTGGAACTGGGGGAACAGCTGGGAAACATTTGGGAAGTCAGAAAGGCTTTCTATTCCAATGGGAAGGGCAGCAGTATTTGAAGAGCATGTTTAGATGAGAAGGGAAACAGGATGCGGCACTGCTCATCCATGTTCACTGGCTGTGAAATGCTTTTCCTATGAGTGCCCTGTCTTTAGCAGGAGGAAGTCATGTTCCTTGCTCTGCTCCCACCGTTTCTGTTAAAACCAAGTCTGATCCAATGTTTTGTTCACTTCCCAGATTGTAAAAGCTTTCATTCTCCAGAAGTTCACAGTGCTGTACACTACAAATGAATTTACTTAGTGATTATGAATATTTTAAGATGGGGAAAGTATCAAGTAGTACTGTCACATTAGTTATTTTAAAAAAGATAGAGCGTTTCTTACATTCATTTTTGTGTCTTTCTCATTAGAGAAACTGAAATAAACTTAGAAAAATATTGTTTCATATGCACAGCTTGAATAGGCTTTCACAAAGCAGAACTTGACTTAATCTTAGACAGTTTGTAACTTCCTTTGACACACTTATTTTTAGTAAGTTTGTACCAAAATAACAAACAAACTTTTACATAAATTGAAACTGTTTTAGATGAGCCCACTGTTATTTTCACTAGGGCATTCTTAGTAACTATTCTGTTAAAGGAAATATGTATGCTCACTGGTATGAGAATTAATCATAGTAATAAGCAATAATATTAGTAATTATATTGATGCCATTAACAGCTAGATCACAATAAGGACATAAGGCCATAAAGGCATATGCAACAGAATGAACCTGCAGAGTACAGAGCATGATTGGTGTTTGCACATCCTCAGTGTCCAAAGTGTGCATTGATTTTGTGTAAAATATATAATTTATGCTACTGTCAGAAATACTGTTTGCTCTGGGCTAGCAGCTAATTTAGAAAAAGTAAATAAGATAGAATAAATACTCAAAAAGCTGTAAAATTTCAAACTACTTTGTTGCTTTACTGCAGTAAATCAGGAGGAAACTCTTCATCCAGTCTGGGTGACATAGTTCCTAGCTCCAGAAAATCGACGCCTCCATCATCTGGTGAGTAGGTCACGAGCCCTCCAGTTTACAGGATCAGGCACCTCATCTGTCAAAACTTACATTACATTTAGTTCTATTTTTCTTATTTCCTGTGCAGTTGCATTGCCCTGCAATGCCACCATCAAGTTTGAGTAATGATAGGGCTCTTAACAATCCGCATAATTCCTTCATTCTTTATTTTTGCCATGAAGTTTTATAGCAGAGACCTAATGAAATGGTGAGACTGTCTTGTGATAGAACAATTAAAGGCTTAGGCTCTAAGCAATCCTGCTGAATAAGAAATACATTCTAATAGGGAGAAAGAGCAGCAAAAAGAATAAAAACTCCCAAGAGGTTTTTGCAGTAGCATCAACAACCAGGAGCTTTGACTATCACAATTCTGATAATGATCATCTGTTTCACATAACTCTTGAATACTGGTGGGTTTTTTTTGTTTGTTTGTTCGTTTGTTATTTTTGTGTTTATGACAGAATTCTTTTTTTTTTTTTTTTTCCCCACAAATACTGTTCTGAATTTAGAACAGACATATTTTAACTTTTGTTAGGTTAAGTTCAAGCAAATTCATTATGAGTTGGAGCAGGACGATGGTATTAGCTCCAAATACATTAGTTCCAAATATTATTCAAATCAACTGCTTTATTGTTGGACATTTTATCTACTCCTGAGAAAGCAAATGGAGAGTTGGAATACTTGAAATCAAAAAGTTCTACAAGTATTGCTAACATCTTGTCTATTGAGGTAAAGATGAGTATTTTCCAAACACTTTATATGGAGGATGATCTACAGAGCAGGCATCTTCAAATGTTCATGAAGATTTTTTAAATATTTACTTGGATATTAAGAGGGAGACAGTGTTCAGTCAAATTATGCTAGTAGACTCATTGGGTTAAATTAATTGAAAAATGTGTCTGTCTTTCTCATGAAACGACGAGTTTGTTTATAATGACCAAGTTTGTTACAGTTAGTTTGTTTGCCACCTAGGTTTCCTATCAACCTTTTTTGTAAGAAAATATATATTTTAGTTTAATAATATGTGTCCATCACAAGTCAGTAGAACACAATTTAATCTTAATCTTTTCTTCTACGGAGGCCTTAAACTGTCATGTTTACTGTCAAAGCCTCATTTTTCAATGGCTGCATTTTTGAAGTAGAAAGTGTGCTGTAATTTTGTAAATAAACATCTGAAATGCTAGAATATTTTTATATTCTGCAAACACTTAGATACCAGTACATAGGAAATTTTCAGAATGTTTCACAAAATTTAGAGGTAAAAGATAGCATAATTATGTTGCCAACGCACTAATTGCTAGTGATGCTGTAATTTTCATTGCATTGAGTCATTTCTTCAGATGGTGGTTCTCAGGAAAATGATTTTTTGGAGAAAGAAAAATGGGGTTTACATTGATTGAGTTACACTGAAGATTTGGAGAATATTTATATGAGTCGTATGTGTTAGCTTATTCTATGATCTTGAGATTTAGGGTTTGCTGTGTTTTGTTGATAATCTTAATACATACCAAGAAGGATGAAAGAAGCGTAATTTGTAACTGATACTACAGAAAAGAACTTAATTTTTTGAAGAACAGTTCAATGCTAACCTGATATATTTCTGCTGTTACCAGTTGTCCTCTTTGTGAGTATAAAATAACTGGCAAAAACAGCAATTATTTAATGAATTGAAGAAATGATAAATAGAATAAGTTAATTACATGTTTTGACTTTGAGTCTGGTATTTTTTTTCCCATATTAAAAAAAGGTGGAGAACCACTGAAAAACGTATGGAGAAGACACCTTTAGTCCTTAAATAATCTGTAGTAATCAACTCATACGTTCCTCACTGACCACCGAGCAGGATGATAATAATGGTGAAAATGAGTTTAAAAACAAAAAAGACACAACAAACTAAAGATAATTAGCTGTAAAAAACAATGGCAAACTGACACATTATGTAGTAGGAAAATTGAGAATGAAAAATAGGTGTCAATATCTATCTGATAAAATGTTGCATTTCTCTTCTACAGGAAAAGCTTAACAACCACAATTTTCCTTACAGGTGATTTTAGTTGGACATAGAAATTAAGGAGTTCTAATATGCCTGATTATGAGTGATTTATAGCATCTGTGCTGGCCTGTATTCAAGAAAAGAATATGTTCTTTTTATATTTATGAAGAGGGTGAAAGAACATTGTTGCTAGAGACAGTCTTATGTGATTTCTGTGGCTGTTTTTAGGAGCAAGAGTATAGAAAGAGGCTGCAGATCTGCTCACTGCCTTTCTTGTCAAGGTCAGACTCAAAGGGAGAGTTGCAAACTCAAGGCTTGTCAAGGATCATGGGATTAGATGTGTAGATAATTCAAATAGGAAAATATACTTTACTTGAAGAGATTGCTGTCATAGGTGTCTCTTAAATCAGTAGCTGTACACAGGCTTGACAGAACTACGCATTTTTTTGTATAATTTATTGGCAGGTGCCTCTATATTAATTGATGTCTTGCTCATCAAGCATCTGAAAGCAGGTCACTAAGGTGGTTTCATAATAGTTTACAGTGACTAAGTATAGGTTTGGTTTAAGTCTATACAAATGATGCTGCTCACCAATTCTTTAGAGAGAGATTCAGTTCACCATAATGGCAGGGCAAGAGAAGCCTGTTAGCAGTGGGTGTCAAGAGGTAGGTAAGATCTTCACGCGCATGGGTGATGTTGTATAGCATGTTTGTCCATTTTGAATGTATTTTTTTTCTGAAGACAGTTCCTAAGATCAGGGTTGAATGTTGTAAAAAGAAAGCTTATGAAACTCTCAGTTGTTTTTTTTTTTTGTTGTCGTTGTTTTGGAGGTAGTTAGCAGGTATCTGTTGGTCCTTTCCCTCAGAATAACCTGGCCTTGTATTTTGAAAATGTGTTTATTTCTGATTCCATTACGATTTTTGCTTATACAGTAGTTAGGTACTTACTAAAAAAGGTAGATAGATGTGTATGGTACAAGCTTTGTGTGCTGTTTATACCTTTGAGAGAGGTTGAACAGCAGTGGTTTGTTGTTTTCTCTTCCATTTTGGCTTATCTACATCCTCACTCTTCACACAGGACCAGGTCTTTCAGACCTTTACTTATGTCTCTTCTCTCTACTACCCATTCTTTTTAGTTTTGACTATTTTATTATTTGTAATATCTTATGCCTGCTGTGCACTTTTTGTTAAAATAATTAAATATTCATTGTAGTCTGTCTATCATAAGATAAATGTAGATATTACTGTGCCACAACTAGGCTGATTTTGGTCCCCCCCCTTTTTTTTTTTTTTTTTTTGGTATTTGATTTGCTTAAGACACATTAGTACATTTTGAATTTCAATTGATGATACAAATTTTGAATTAGCATTCATTGTGGTAAAATAATTCAGATGTTGCTGGCAAAATTTCTGTTGTTCTATTGGTGAAAGTATTATTTATTCCAGTGAATTAGTTCAGATTTACACTAGTCTAACAAAAAAAGAACTTGGCCCTTCCTCTGTTTTGTAATATTAATTCTGTATATGTCTGATTTAATTCTGTAATAAGGGGTCAGAGGAAAATTGCTTTCTGTTTTCTAAACCTACTTTACTGTGCCGTTAAATTTTTCCCATTGTTTTATTGTGTTTTGTATTCATGATTAAATTATTTTATTATTATTTTAATCTTTATTTTACTCTCGACAGCTTTATTTTTCTTTATTTCTTATTTCTTTTTTAACCTATTTTTGCTTTCCCTGTCATCTGATAATTCTGAATTGTTTGTCTGTATATAGCTATAGACATAGATGCCACTGGCTTAGATGCAGAAGAAAATGATATTCCAGCAAACCATCGCTCCCCCAAACCCAGTGCAAACAGTGTAACATCACCCCACTCCAAAGAGAAAAGAATGCCCTTCTTTAAGAAGGTAACACCAACTTCCAAGCTCCCATTTGTCCACCTGCTCACCTGCACTGCGTCACATTTCTAGTCCTGTTAACTGTCTGCGTCCTTTGACAAGCCAATAACATGCATGCTTTGTTGTTCTTTGTTTCTTTTCCATGCTGCTGTAGCTAAGCAGAAGCAGAAATCGGTAAGTTTATATCAGCACTACCTGTGTTCATCCTGCTGCTGGCATCATTATGATTATTGCCCCAGTTTAACAATGCAGCTACCCTAGAATTAAAGAAGACATTAACTGAACTATTCAAGTATTCAAAACATTAAAGCAAACAGTCCTAAGCTCAGTGTGTCCATGAAACTCTGCTACAGTATTTATCCTTTTTGATGGAATAAATAAGATGGAAGGTCTTCTAGAGGTCTGAGGAATTTTTTTTCTAATAAATTCATATAATGCGCCTCTCTAGTGCATGCCTATTCTTTATATCTCTATTTCAAGGTATTATTTTCATTGTAACACAGTCTACTGAAATCATTATTGGAATCTGATCAGATACTCAGGCAGTAGAATCAAAATCTGTGATTTTTTAATTTAGTCAATATTTAAAGTTTTAATTCACTTGGTGCAAAATCTACAGACGAGAAAAAACAGTGGAAAAGTACAGACTTGTTTTGGCTGTCTAGTGTGAGTTTTTCCTATTGTCATGAATAAGTTACCAGCCAAATGATCTTGCCTTACATCAGTCAAATGCTCAGCTATTGTAAATGGTACTGTTAATTTCTTTAAGAGCCAATGCCTCTACATACATAACCCTAAGTTCTACAGCATTATACACTGGCATCCTATTACAGCAAACTGAGATATGTTTCTAGGATATCTAGTAGAAGACATTGTCAAGACACTAGGTAGCAGCCAAACTATGAAACTAAATACTATGCTTCTACTTAAAAAAATAAAAAATAATCTTCAAAGTCTTCATAGCTTGTTCTTCATTTGCTTTTAACTACTCAACATCTTCAGGCTATATATGCTGCTTGTAAACAGTGCCAATTGACAGTGTTGCCAGTGCTTTGGATGCTGTCATGTTTAGGCAAATAAAATATTTTATTCTTTCTTGAACTCTTTTAAGAAATATTCAATCCTTCTCATTTTCAGTCACCAGTATTTTCTGCAGTGGGGTCTATGATGTACCACCGTGGAAATCAGCAGCACTTTCATGCTTCTGAATAATTTCTTCATTAACCATACTTATAGCCAAGTGTAAATGCTAAGGAAGAATTACACATGTTGATATGTATTGGATGCATAAGCTTCTTCAGAAGATTTATCTTGTGGATAAACCACCATGCTATCAGACAGTGATTAATTCCATGTCTCTCCATTCTGTAGGATCTCTTTTATTCTACATCAGTGTCTTTACTGATTACAGTAGCTTTTGTAATAACAACATTTACATAAAACTGGGTGGGCATCCCAAACTAATCACGTGTGGTCTAACCACTGAGAGTGAACCATGTGGTCTGAAGTTTGCTAGTTTTTGTTTCAAATTCCTATTTGAACTTGACTCTACAAGTGAAAGCTCTATAGCTAAGTGCCAGGACATTAGAACATTAGATTCTCTAATACTAAATTGAAGAACATAGATTCCTCCATTAGATAGACAGTCTCCTGCTGAAAGCTTTGTTAAAAATAAAACTGTTTCAGCAGATTTTCAGTTAACCCCATATTCCATCAAATAGGAAAACTTCTGTACATTCCCTGATTTTCAAATAGCCAGTTAAATTCTAGCATGAATATCTTTAACTGAGTTGACACTTTAAAACAAAGATCTGTTGCATCAGTGCACTTTTGCTATAAACACTTTGTAATGTTTTTTTTCTTAGGAGATGACTCCAACGAATATCAGATTATTAGAAATCTTTAGAAGATTATTAGCAAGAACAGCAGAGGGCTGCATTTTAATACTGGTGCAGCGTAATTGCAGAGTTTTGCTTTGAAATGTATTAAGTTAGATTCTGCCCTGTGTAACGTGAGTTCATCTGATATGCTTACAATGCCTTGGGCACTGGTATTCATTAATATTTACTGACTATCTGGTGAAGCTACAGATAACCAAAAATAAGATAAATTATATTTAAAATATAAAAACATTCATGAAAATATTTTCTCTGTTTTAGACTGCTCTAGACTGCTGCTTGTTTAGCATTTTGTGCTGTCACTGTATTAATGTTTGTCTGTGTTTTTCTGTTTTGTAATGTATATTCTTATTTTAACCTTATTGTGAAACATCTTGGGATATGTTGAGTACAGAAATAATGAACAATGGCTGTATTCTACAGTCTTAACTGATATATTTTTACTGCATAGGCATCTGAAAAATAGGCATACCATCTTTCTGTATCACCCACAAGTTCCTGGGTTTGGATTAGATATGTTTTTCCCTGAGACAAAAATAAGCTAAACCCTTTCTTAAAAACAAAAAGCCCTTCGTCATAAGTCAATCTATGTTACTCTTGGAGGTATATATTCATTAGCCATTTATTAAAGAAAATAAAATGGATTAATCTGCTTATATTTAATTTATAATATATATAATATATATGCTATATTATATATTATATATATATATATATATTTACATTTCAATAGCAATATAAAAATTGTGGCAGTCTTTGGAAACAAGCAGTCTTAACTATTTTTCTTTTTCAAAATAGTTTTTTGTAAATTATGCACGATAGATTAGTAAGTAGTTTGGTGAATACTGTACTAACACAGTCTGCTCTTGGGTGGTGATGGACACTTCCCAGAGTGAAAATATTGGTATCCCAAGCTCTGTTTATGAAAATTTTCCGTAAATACTAACTTGATCAGTGATTGTTTTGATTCCTTTTGGAAGTGAATTGTGTATGCAAATATGGAAGTCAGACCATGATTGCTTCCATTAGAATTTGCAGTGATGTCACGTTTTGCAAATCAGTCAGCTGATCTGAGCATAAAAAGAGATATTCTAGGCTTCTCCCCTTCCTTTTTGTTTTACTCTTCTCCTTTGTAATTTGATAAAGAAAAATTTTATTAGGAATAAAGGTGTCACATCTCCAGAGACAATTGTGTCAAGTCCTTAACTGTTGGAATTAACCTTTTTAGTCAACCAGTCGTGAATTATGCAGTGGCACATATGAATGTCTCCAGAGTAAACAGTTTTAGAACTGCTCAGCGCAAACATGACAGTAAACAGTAAGTCAAAGAAAAGCTTCTTCAAAAAGAAATCTGTGAATCTGTGAAGTTCTTGTGGTACCAATTTTCAGGAAAAGTTAATCAATCCACAAGTCTTCTGTTGGTGACATCACTGGAAATTCAGAGTTGCTAATATTTTAATTAACATTTTAGACTCTAAGTGCTGCAATGCTGAAATCTTTTTCTGTTTTACAGACAGAGCACATCCCTCCCTATGATGTAGTGCCTTCTATGCGACCTGTAGTTTTAGTGGGACCTTCTTTGAAGGGATATGAGGTAAGAGATTGTTGCAAATCATTTTATTTTGCCAAAAATATTTTGCATTATGTCGGTTGGAATGTTTGGAGGTAGTTAAGTTGAATAATATAATTTGTATCATAGACAAAAATATAGACAGTTTATACTTCAATGAGATGTGTGGTTACATTCATTTTATTTCATATCTGAATTCAGATTAGGACAAAATTACTTACATTCTTGTTATATTGTTCAGATAAAAGTTTTACTGTCAACTTCAATATCTTTTTCTAAATTGTTAGCATCAACTATCATCAGTTCCCTATCTAATTATTAATTTCTTGTTTCTTTGCTTTTAGGTAACAGATATGATGCAAAAAGCATTATTTGATTTTTTAAAACATAGATTCGAAGGGCGGTAAGTACTTTGCATTATAAACTTACTAGAGTTCAGGTCCTGTTAGGTACTAATTAATTTTTTAAGGAACAATGACATACATACCCTTTATTTTGAGAGCAGGCTTGTTCTTCCATCTCAAATGACATTTAAATGATCTTGAAAATTTGTTGAAAACTTGAGTGGAAAATTGTTTCCTTCAATGTTGCATAATTGCATTTGAAAAATAGGAAAATTCTTGCCTATGCAACTTTGGAAGGAAATTGGCAGGAGAAAAATTGTCAATTAGTAAACAAAAATATCTAACCAGTATCCTAATTTGCACGTTGGATTTAATTCTAAGGCTAATAGCCAAAAATCACAATACTAGGTTATGTTTTTAGCTTTAGTTATATGATGCCTGAATTTTCAAAATGGTGTCACTAATCAGTATTGTGGAAATAACTCCTGTTTTTCTGTATTAATTTCTGGCTCTATTAAATTTTATCTGGTTATAGAAAGTTTATACACACATTGAACATTGGGAAATGACTTTTTTGATTACATTTCAGATGAACAGCATCTAAGTATGTTTCTTAGAGAGGAGCTCCCCCTCTCCAAATCCATTTTCTTCTTTTAAATTGCAAGTAAAATCATACAAGGAAGAACAAGAGAGTAACATAAGCCTTTTTTAACTCAAAGCACTGGAAAAATGTGACCTCTAAAACTTTGTTAGACCAGAGCTGGAAGGGGAATTTAGCTAAAGGGTGCTTTTTGACCCTGGAAAGCAAAACAAACTGAGTTAACTGTTTTCCTAGGAAGAAGAATATGCAGAAGGTTATGTAGAAGGTCATTGCAAACTGGAAGTAATCACTTATTTCTTGGCTCATCTTTTCTCCTAAGCACAGAACTGAGCCTACCAGATACTCAGCCCAGAGTTCTCATTTGCTTTTTCACTCCAGTGTTTGTTTCTTTATGTTTCAGTCCTCATTTTCAGATAGCCAACATATTGCTTGAACTTTCTGGAAAAATATAGGTAGCTCTTGCAATCTGTTAAAAGCAACAACAACCAATAAAAAAAAAAAAGTAGTTAACTAAAGAATAAATATAAGTATCGTGTGATTTGCCTGTTAAGTTTTACCTTCACCTGTTATCACTGCATTTTTGTATATAGTAAGCCAGAATGTCATTCAGAACCTTTGGAAAAAAACAAAACCAAAACCAATCAAAATTAGGAAAGGAGAAATTAGCTTTTTCATCTGGGGACAAATTAAACCTCCATTCAGAGAACATAGTAACATAGTGTTTTAGAGTCCTGAAACACTCCAGGATTGAAACTGGGCCTACTGGTGCAGAGTCTAACCACAGCAGGCCTGGAGTCACCAGGGCGTACGTGTTCCTCACAGCTCTGCCATTTCCCTACCTTTCTCTCCCCAGACTGGTGTAACTTTGCAGATCATGATCATACTGCAGTTTGGTGCTACACAGAAAGGGGGATGTCTTTCCAATAGTTCTAGTAACATAATAACATCTCTTCTATTCACTTTGTGCAAAGCATACTGAGGCACCAAGGAAAACCTCTTTTTCTGTGTTCTTAGCCAACTTTTAATTTTAAATGAGTCTCTTTTCTCCTCAAAATAAATAGCATCCCTTTCTATATTATTTTATTTTTGCAGTATATCAATTACACGAGTCACCGCAGACATCTCACTTGCCAAACGCTCAGTATTAAACAACCCCAGTAAGCATGCGATCATAGAGCGATCCAACACAAGATCAAGCCTAGGTAAGTACCTAGAATGATGCTACCTACAAATTGGCTGTGAAGTTCACTACTCACAATTCTTGTAAGTTAAAAATAGCCTTCTCTGTGCTGTGAGAAAATCACGATTCCTGTAGTTCAGAAATCCTGTCTCTGGAAGTCATTTTTAAATCATTACCACTTAAACTTCATGTAGTGCTGGTATGGTTTTATCCTGCTTATGTACACTTCTCGTGTTTGCTGTTAGCCTCAGTGGGAAGTAGCTGTCCATAAGGTAAATAAAATCTAAGTAGATGTTCCTCTGGTTAAACAGAGGTAACATTATCAGAATACACGATGTTGTTGATGTTATGGATATTAATATTATCTTTGATATGATTCTGAGCAGTGGTATCTACTGATATCTTCGACATGAAAAAAAGACATTGAAGTACATGTTTCAAGAATTTAAAACTGATGTAGCTTGGTCTCTTCTTTTATAAGCTTGTATTTCTTTGAAGCGTTCAGAGAGTTTGATTTCTTCTGGACACATATTTTGAAATATTATAAATTTGTGGGACAGGAAACAGAGTTCCTTATCCCTAGCTTTATAAAAAAAATTCTGAGCATTGACTGTGTATTTAATATTTGCATAAAATAGCTGTCTTTTGTATAATCTTATTCTTTCACACAAAGTTCGACTTCTCTTTCTTGAAGATTTATTTCTGAAAAGTTTTGTTTTCAGCTATGAGGGTACTGTAAATCTTCACACAGTCTGATGGCTTCCAAGTCTGCCTCATTTTGAGTGTTTTCAGATATAAATATGTAATATAGTATGTAATGAATATCTTCATACACAAGAATTTTCTTCCATGTTACTTTCAGTTTTGTGGCTAAAATCTGTTTGATGATATAGTGAAAAGATAGTGTTATTTATAAATAGAATTGAAAATCTGTAGTAAGAATGGATGTCACCTAGTCATGGAACATAAACAGAAATTGCTGTGATTGATTTCCCAGCCTGAACATCAAAGCATGGGTTTACCTTGTTGTACAAATACATGCAGTAGTAGTAAGCATAACATCTACTCCCTGTGCTAAAATATGCTCATACTTGTTTAACAGCTATCAGAAAAATATATAAGGGAAAAGAATCTATAAAATAAATGCAGGTCTGTCTTGTTAAAAAAGAACAAAAAAAGTAAATGTTTGCTCTGAATTGTTTACTGTTATATGATGGAAAACCTTACCCTTAAGACTATCAACATTTTAGATTAATTTAAAATGGAAGTACTGACAGAATCTCAGTTGGAAACATCCATAATATATATTTGTATATATAGAAATGTCTGTATTTTTTGTAACTAAGACCTATTATTACCTAAGATTTCCTAAGATTTCATGTTATAGATCTGTTTTTTTTTTTCTGGTTGATTACGACTATCCTAAAATGTATCTGATTTATAAAATAATTTTGAATTATCTTGGGAAATGTTAGTTAGAGCTACTAGGTCACTTTTAACAATGAAGTTCAGGCAAAAAATAATTTTATCTCTGTTGAATTATTCTCAAAGCCTTTACTCCAATACTCCTATATGCCTTATTATCTAGCAGGGTTTTGAAATTTAGAAGTGAACTAAAGTGTATTTCAATTATATGCTCCTGAACATTTTTATGAAAATCGTGAGAAAACATGATCAAATTACTATATGCTTTAGTAGAAACAGCAGATAGCGCAAGCCAGGCTTTGTATCTAAATCACTTACAGACTAGGTTTGACTGGTCAAGGTCCAGTTGCTGATACTGAGTTCCCTGCAGATTGGATCAGGACAGTGAAACTCAAATAAAACAGGAAAGTATTTGTATTTGTTTTTATTTTCTATTTTGTTGGCATAATTGAGTAAAAAGATAGGAATATAACTGTGCTCAACTAAAGAAGCAGGGAGAAAGGCAAGAGATGTGAAACTTCAGCATGGAAATTGCTGGATTTATGGAGCAGGAGCAGGAAAAGTTGAAGCTGTTGGTGAAGGGGATTTGGTCCAGGCTTGGGGGAAAACTTAGGATGAAGAAAACTGGTCAGAAAGGAAGTTAGGAGGAAAAATGATGTGGTGGCAGTGGGCTGGAAGAAAAACTGAGATAAGATAAAACAACTGCAGTCAGAAAATGGACCTGATTTATTAAGTCAGTGGGAAAGCGATTGTGCAAGGGCAAAGAAAAGAAAATACAAGGAGTGTTACAGCCTGTTCCATAGCTTACTGTAACGTAACTCAAAACAGAAATAGAGTCAATCAGAAAATGGCTTTGTAGCCATAGGTGTCCTCCTCTACCAGTGGTTCACAAAGAAGATGACAGCATACCACTGCTGTGAGTACTTAGTTGGCTCAAGTTGCAGACATGGGTGGCAACCTCATACCCCATACTGTGAAATTTTTATTCTCAGTTTCTGTGATAAATTTGCTATATGAGTAAGTCACCAAACATTCCATTAGGAGAATATTAGTAGGTTTACAAATGAGAGTTATGCAAAATAAAGATTAGGAAGTAATAGTATAACGGTTTACTGTTCAAATTGTTTGTACTGTAGTTTATGTAGGCTGCAGTTTGGTCTTTGGTTTGCAGACTACTTTTCCATCAGTCTTCTGCCTTAGTTTATTGTTTTTTTTTTAAATGCACAAATTAATAATGGAGAAGTGGAATTGCTCAGTGCCAGAGGTCAGCCACTGTTTCACTTTCTTGTATGATGTATGAAGCAAGAATCTTCAGGAAGGCAAAGGAAATACTGTAAATGTAAAATGCATTTTCAATTTTAAATCTGGAACAAAACAGAAAATATTGATTTGACTAAAAATATTTGTGGCAAGTTAATCTATCAGTTTTAACAGAGAAGATTGGTATGAAACAACATAAAATTCTGATCAGAAAGGTCATTGCTCATCTTCTACCCTCAAAGCACTTAGCATACCAGTAATTAAAACATATTTGGGGTGTATGATACCCAGAGTCAAGCTTCTGCTGCAATTGGTGTGGAAGAGGGATCCATGTTTCAGCCTGAAGAATAGTGAGTGCTGAACTCCCTTTTTTCCTTCAGCAGATATTATTTCTCTATTCAAAATGGGATAGCCCCAGTGGAGAGGAAGTTCTGCTGCCTACAACCTGATAGTCTTTAAGCTGAAGTATGATATGCCATAATCTTCTATTCTGAATCTCAGCATCCAGCACACCTCTCCCATACTTCTTATAGATAGCATGTTTTTTCCCCACAGTGTTTTCTGTACACTTCAGGCATAATTTGTAGAGGTATTAAGTACTGGGGCTGTAACTGAAATTTGAGCCTCGAACTTATGAAAAAAATAACACATCATCAAAATCAACATGTTGCATGAAGACGCACTGATTTTCAAAATGCAGATGGAAACCAAGCAGTATTTTATGGAGCTGGAGCTACTGCTGGGGACCTCACAAAATATCATGCTTAATGGCTCTTCATTCCCCAGAAGTCATCTTATTTTAGACTCTTCTCTGGCAGTCATTTAACTAGGGAGATACTCTCTTAATTCCCAGCCTAGCATGATGATTTTGTCTTTTCTCTTGAATCAGCACAGATGTCATGTACATAGTAGCATCAAGAATGTCCTGAGTCTTAGTAGTGGCTTTTAAAAGAAGCAAGATTATGTTCCATTTTGGACGAAATAATCCCCAAACTCATGATTTCCTGTAGGATGGCTTCCAGCTTCCTAGTTGGCAAAGATATTTTACTATGGTAATTATTCTGAATAATCAGGTACAATATTTCTGAAATTGATCCTACCCTCTCCTAGATGAGTGATAGCTTGTGATTGATCTCTGTCACTCCAGTCTGGAAAATAAAGATTATTTCAGCCTGTCACTGAACTGGGATGTTTCAATGTGAAAAATCATTTTATTGGAGCAGTCAAACCCTACCACAGTAAATTCCATAAAATAACCTACAAATACTTTATTCTTAGTTTTCAGAGAAGGATTAGCACAATATGCTCTGAGATATCTAACACACATATGTCAAAAATGGGAATGTAATTGATTCAATACTGCTGATCATTTGAGTGTATGGAGTTGTGCACTGATTGAGACAGCATTCTTACAGAAACAAAATTAGAGTGCATTCCCAGTAATGCTATCTTATAATATAGTGCACATAAGGTTTGATTTAAAACAGCTATCTTATCATTTCCTAATTTTTAGTATTACCTTTGCAGTTGATATATGTGTAATGCATATTTACATATTTTTATAATATATACAAATATGTATTATTAGAAGTATCATTAAATATATTATTAAATTTATCAGTCATAGATAAATCATTAAGTCAAGTTTCAGGTTACCTTAGCTCTTTTCTAGTATCTGCTGCAAGTCTGCTGCAGGAAATAAGTTTTCTCAACGTATGTTTTCCCATACATAATATAATAATAATAGATCCTTTTCTCCCAATTACCTCTAGAAAAAGACAGAATTTCTGTCCACATCATCTACAATGATTTATTTCTTGTCCAGCTTTATAGAAATAGTTTGTATTGCAATGAAATTTGATCTTTCTAATGAAGAAAAGTTGGAGTTGAGTTGGGTTGGGTTAGCTGTGAATGAGGGTTCTGGGCTTCTTTGCTTTAGGACATGGGAGATGAGTTGCTGTTGGTCTGTTTCCTCCCTGAGCAGCCAGGAGAGCATGAACTGAAACCTATATGCTTATTCCATGTCTTGTGTAATTTAAAAATGGCTTTCTGATGCAACAAATACAACTCCCTAGAACAGTTCTGTATTAATTGAGATCCCTTCCAAGTTCAGTGGAAGGCAATTGCTTTCTCACTCACCTTTGTGTATGAATATGTCATGGACCTAGGCAGTCACTTAACTAATTATTTTCACATTTATGAGCAGCTCTTGTAACTGCAGCAGAGAACGCTATTTCTTACAAATTTGAAAATATATCTTCATTTTTTATATAAGGTCCTTGTTCTTTAAAAGAATGAATGTGGTACAGATGTAATGTACTTGCTATATCAATACCT